AATCTAAGCCTGCACGCTTGCGCTGTTTCATTGAGTTCTTAAAAAAATTTTAGGATTTTAATTTATGGACGAGTTTTTATAGAAAAAATACTAAAATAGATATGTTATTATGGAGAGTCCGCTAATGATGTATGTATTTTCAAAAGCAACATCGCCATAATTCAATTAGTAGTCTAGGGAAGTATAAAAGACTATGTTTGAGTTGATTCGTGGTGACAGTATTCAAATACGTTTCATTGTGTTTAGTTTAAATTTAAGACTACTAGCTAGTTGGCTTCTAAGTGTTCTAAGTATATTCACATAAAACTATAAAATTCTTAAGGAAAAAATGGTTAGTGAAACTGTGATATTATTTTTATGGTACTTGGCTAATAAAATTAAGACGAGTGAATATTTTTTTAGAACTTTTTTTTTATATTTCTTGTACACGCCGATGACTTAACAACATTTTAGTAATGGTTGCCATTTCGCATCAGCGATTTCGGCTTAGCCATATATCGCACTCTATCCGCTCTAAAAAGACTCAACACTTGGATGTCGAGTAGCGCAAGCCACGGCCTCTAGGATGGACCATAATTTATAGTCCAATCGAGTGAGGTCTGGGTACCAGATGGCCAATTATCCGTGAAAATGAAGTTCGAAACATGATTTTGTTTTGATTTTGCCCAGTGAGCTAGAGCGGAGTCCCTCTGAATCCATCTGAAAAGCAGGGTGGTGTCCACGATGGAGCCTCGCTTTTTTCTAACTGATTTTGTTCAAGCTGATTGCCAAACGTCTCAAAACGGGATTCTCCAACATCTCGCTAATATGTGCCCATGCTCTGGCGGAAGAGAAAAACGAGATGTCCAAGGATCTCTTCGATGAGCGCTTGGAGCGTACATACGAGCGCTGCCCTCGTCACGATATCAAATTCGTGCTTGGCGATTCCAATGCCAGGGTGAGCAAAGAAGGGATCTTTGGCTCCACTATAACGGACAGAGGCTGATCGACTTCGACGGGGACCGAAATATGGTAGTATATAGTAAGGGTTCGTAGCATAAAAAAATCCATCAATCTGCTTGGCTGTCTCCCGAACGAAAAACGATAAACCAAATCGATGATGTTGTAATAGACGTAAGGCACGCGTCCAGTGTTGTAGTCGTATTTACACTCCGAGGGCCAAACATCTACTCGGTCTATTATCTGGTGGGAGCCAAGATACGCACCCGCCTCTGTGCAGCAAAAAAGGTGCGCCAAAATATGCAAGGAAAGCTTAACGTCGAAAAGCTGCAATCACAAGGGACGGCCAATACATTCGCCACTCGACTCTCACACCTGCTCTCAGAGAGTACTCTTCAACAAACCGACATATGTGAGCAGTGGAGCCATATTTCCCGCTTATTACGTGCCGCCGCAGAAGAAGTAATCGGATTTCAGCGAGCTCGAAAGAACAACTGGTATGACAAGGAGAAGCTGCAGAGAAAAAATATTCCACCTACAGGGCCACGCTGCGATCCGGCGCAAGTGGGACCGTTATAGGGAGCTGAAGAGGGAAGCGAGACGTATTTGCCGCAATAAGAAGAGAGAGGCCAAGATACTCGAGTAGAAAGGGCTTGAAATGCTGGTTAGGACCAGGGCAAACTCCTGTTAGAACAAGCATGGCGACCGTTATCTGTCACCAGGGTTTTTGAAACGCCGACTCGCTTGTGGCGGAATGTCTTGCTTAGGCTTTCTTTCTTCGTTTTCTGTAGTGGTACGACTTCTAACTACATAAAGAATTCGTCGTGGAACACGAGTATCGTTGTGTAGCCGTATTTTGAACGCGGGAGCGGACCGACGGAGTCGGCAAACAAGGTGGTTCAAGGCACTTTCGCTAGTTGGGTCAAAATCTTTTCCGCTACTTGTTGTTGGCTTTTTTTATATACTTGGAACGACTGATACCTTTTCACGTGTGTACTTCGGCACTTGGCGGAACATGCCTGGCCAGTAATATCGTGCGGTAGTTCTTGCGATGGTGTTCCGTACATGCGACCAGCGCCGGGTGTGTGGTGGATCTCATGTAGCATCCTCTCCCTCAGGTTCCTCGCTTTTCCTCGGTTTTCCACTGTGTAGTAAAAGCAAAGAAATAGTTTGTTTCGGTCGTACTTAAGAAGACGGGAGTAGATCCGCCCGTTCCTCTCCGTTAGCGGCTTTGAAGCCAACAAACAGCGCCCTGTTGGTAAGGCAACTGTATGCTCTGCACATAATCTGAGCAAGGTGGCTGGTATGCAGCGTTGCCATTTTAGCCGTTTTCCGGCTAGATTTAGCCGGTTTTGATAGCAACTAGCCGGAGAAAATTCGATCTAGCCGGCAGCCGATTTGTTAGCCGGTTTGTAAAAAAAAGTTAGCCGTTTTTAGCCGATTTTACTATTTGCCTAATTTTCAGGTGCAAAAAGTAAACAAGTTGTTCGAAAGCAATAATGCAGACCCAATGAAGATTTTTAATGAACTCAATGTTTTACTTTCGCATCTATGCTCCCTAGTGGTTATTAGCGCGGACACATTTGATCCTATATGCTCCCCGTTGGAACCATACCTTGCTCCATTTCCTCAGTTTTATCACAGTTTTGAAGAGTATTTAAAAACAAAAGTAAGCACAAACGCTTTTGACCACGAAGCCGAGAAAATAATTCGAGAAAATGGTCGCTATTTTATTATCACTTTAATAAAGGAATTACGCCAACGCCTCCCTACAAATATTGCCGCACTAAAAAAAATTGACTTTTTTCGGTTGGAAATGCATTAAGAGTGATTAAACCAAAAGTATTTGTTCAACTACAGCAACAAAAACACAAATATAATGCCGACGAAATAACATCCATAGAGATGCAATGGCAACGGTTAACGTTACATACCTGGAGTAATTTAGACTCAATTGTAAAATTTTGGGCCGAAGTTTATCAATTTCGAAATGCCCTAGGAGAAAACCCTTTTGCTGACCTTTGCAACCTAGTTTTTAGTTTTCTTGTTTTGCCTATAAGTAATGCAGAAGTAGAGCGAATATTTAGTTCAATGAATATAATAAAAACTAAGCAAAGAAATTCAATGTGCGTTAAAACGTTAAACGCTATTTTATATATAAGATACAGTTTAAAACGTGAAGAAAAATGATGCCATAATTTTACTGTAGATGACGATCTCTTAAAATTAATGAATTCAGGTGATATATACAATAGTGATTCATTTGATGATGAGGAATATACACTCGATATAAATTAATGGTGTTAACTAGTCTTTCGTTTCTTGCGATTTATTTAAATAAAGCATGTGAATTTTCACTAAAACATTTTAGCCGTTTTTTGCCAGAGTCTATGTGAAATTTCACTAAAACATTTTAGCCGTTTTTAGCCGCTTTTTTTTGCCAATCTAGCCGGTCGGCCCAAAAAGTTCTGGCAACACTGCTGGTATGTGATTTGGTACATAATGTACATATCGCACACCCTCTTCAAAAGAGTCACAACTCAAAATAATACGTTTGTCAGAAAATGCGAAAAACTATTTCTTAGCACATGAAAATCGTATGGGAAAGGGCAAATTATAACAAGAATTTTTTCCTAATTTGGTTGAAAGGAAAGCTAAAATCTCTGTGTACATTTTTAGCTCATAATCTCAAAAATGCCTAATTTTGAGTTGTGACGCTTTTGAAGACGGCGTGCGATATGTACATTATGTACCAAATCACATACCAGCCACCTCGCTCAGATTATGTGCAGAGCATACAGTTGCCTTACCAACAGGGCGCTGTTTGTTGGCTTCAAAAGCCGTTATGTTGATTAAGGCCAATGTAAACGACTTTGGAGTACATCCTCTGTGTGGGGATAGGATTTCTGTCGAACTAAAAGTAGCTGACAAAATAAGTAGGGCACACCAAGTTTTTTTTTTTAATTTTCCAGGAGAACTGCGTTGTTTTCTTCAATATTAAGCCTTTTTTCCAAAGAACAGCTGTGTAATTTAGTTGTAGTTTTTCTGGTAATGCTATGGATCTTAATGATTTCTGCGAAGCCATTGAAAGGCTTGTGATGTGGTATTTTTCACATCATGATTATTGCGGGGGTGTACCTGCACTCTTGCATTCTACGTGGAGCTCTGGTGCTCCGTCGGTGCTGCTGCCGGCCGACGCTCGCTTGCATGGAGCCCTAGCCCTCTCTCGGTGCTGCTGCCTGCCGCACTATTTTAAGTGTGCGCAATGAATGTCGCCAATTTATTTTATCATTTCATACTTAACTTAGCTGCGATAACATATATTTGTAATAGGGCGAATTCATATTAGGTAATTTATAGGGTTGCAATTGTGATTCTTTAATCAAATTACCGGCTTACTAGTCTATCTTAACGTACTACTGATGCGCGAAATTTATATATCCTCGACTCAGAATTTGCTTCCTAGCTCCAAAAAGGCTCCATTTAGCGTTTTGTTTATTATACCGTGATATATTCCACTTAAGTATAAGTTTTTATTTCATGTTAACCATTGACCACTCCAAGCTTCGAAAGACTGCATAAAGAAATGTATACTTACATACATATTTTCAAAACAAATCTAATCTTGAATTTTCTTTACAGAAACTCTACTTTGCCTTATTTGCGCTCATATCCAGCGTTGCTGCCGATGTTAGCCATCTGAGCCGCGAATATCTGCCACCAGTGCACCACGACGCGAGCGCTAGTGCCAGCCTCGGTGGCCCTGCAGTAGTAAACGTCGGCTTCAGTGCCGGTTCCAGTGCTGCGCCTAGTGGCACAGCGACCTACACCAGTCATCATCAGAGTTTCGAAAGTGTGCATCAACCACAACCGCAAAGCGACGTTTCGTTCACCTTTAGCAGGGATGAAGCACAGGCTGCAGAGCCCGCCGCACCAGTTGCGCCAGCTGATGATGGTGCCGTCTCCTCTGTATCCTTCACCATCGATGGAGCGCAACAGCAATATCACGATGACAAACATGGGCAACAGCAAGTGCATTTCGGGGTGGAAAGCGAAGGTGCTGATGTCGGCGTTGTAGGCGGAGTAGGAGCCGGTGACGCTGGTGTCGCCTATGGTGGCAGCTACGACTTAAGCAGCCAGGATGGGGGCGTGCAAGATCTAGAACACAATAGCCTGGTAAGCGATGACTATGGCAGCAATGCTGCCGTTGATAATGAAGCGGCGCATGTGAGTCACGCAGCAGCTCAGGGTCCAGCTGTACGCGCGCCACAATCAACACCAGCAGATGTTGGCACACAAGACGCTGTAGTGCAGTATGTAAGTGGTGGAGAAAGTGCCTCAACTGGCGGTATTGAGACACAATATGGTGCCAACGGTGGTTATATCTATTAAATAGATTTAGGTGATTCATTTAATTTGGTAACTTATGTTAAATATGTACATACATATCTACTACATGTAAAGATAAGATGACAAAATATACAACACGAAAACGTACTTGATTTGAATAGTGAAAGGCTTGTTGATTTATTGAGGTTGACATGCGCGGAATACTTAACCAGCTGTGCGAATCTTTGCCTGATGGCTTATCTCGCTTAAAATGTGCGGCTTTCGATTTTCTTTGGTGAATGTCATGCTAGTAATGAAGTGGTCACACAAGTGTACATTCTTCAAGTTCATGAACTTCTGCCACGAGGCGAATGGCGATGGCAAAAGACGTTACGTCACTTCACCACGTTGCGCATGCGCGTGTGCATTAATTATGTATGTTGATAGCCGGTTTTGCAGTTAAATGTGCGTTTGCATTCGACTTTGGTTGCGTTTTGAAGATGATTCTTCTTACATATGTACGTGTATTTGCGTCTGTTAAAATTTTTGGTTTTTTCGCATTCACACCAACTAATTGTAGCAATCGTCGTTGCGCATCTGCGCTCATCCTGGCTGCGAGTCGCATTGACTTTCTTTCATTCATCACTTAACTACAGGCCAACTGGTTGTTATGTAAAACTTTATAGGTATGTACATATGTGCTGCTGTTGCAAAAAGTTCCCTTCACCTCGGCGTTTAGGTATTACCTGCCGCACTTCGATTTCTTCTTATGTGAGTGCAATGGCATTTCCGTCCTGAATTTGGTGAAGCTTTCAAGGCCTCGATCGCTTAAATCATACCGTTGCACTATGGGCAATTTGATCAGTTTTTGTGGCAAAAAGTCGTTTTTCGAACTTACAGAAATTAAGTCTTCTTTCCTTGGTAGCTGATAAAGATAACTTGAAACAAAAAAACCTTGGAATTGTGTTGTGTGTTTACGGAAAATAAAGAATAAAGTATGTATGTAAGTACTTTTAAGATCTGTAACTGGTATTTTTACGAAAAATTATTTTTGGAGAAAAATACATACCTTTGACACAACGTAAAGTGTTTTTTTTACAAATGAAATCTGAAAAAGCTTTTAAATGTTGGCCGGGTTCAGACTATGATAAGACAACTTAAACAACTGTCTGTTATCTCCCCACAATCTTTCGAAAGACAAAAGTCTGGCAACTATTTTGAAAGCTCTTTACTGTCCTTCGAAAGATTAATTGAAAGATGGGAAATTTCTAGGTCATGCGATAAAGACAAGTTCTCTAAATATCTCGACTCCGATGCCATCTGTTGGCAACTTTTTTTGCAAAAGTATATATTTTATGATGCAGATCAGAATTACAAATTCATGCGACATATGATTCCGAAGTTATGGCTGATTAAAAATTTCACTGCTATAGGATGTGCTTTAACCAAAGTATATGTAGGTACTTTACTATAAGCATAGATATGTATGTCAACACACCAAATTCCAAAGTCATGTGACTTACGGTTTCGAAGTTATAGCTCATTAAAAATGGCATGCCTCCCATAGGCATACAAACTGAATAATTTTTTGGCCGATCCCTAACTTTGCTAGACGCCTGATCACAATGGGTAGGTTCAGAAGGCGCAGCAGTTGAGCACAACCGATTATAAAAAAATCAGTGATCGTAATGCGTCTTCTGAACGGCTTGATACATTAGCAGTCAAATTCACAAACACACAACATGTTATCTCAAATGATCAGAAAAATATTACGATCGTCTAACACGCAACTGTTCAGTTGATCAGAATTACAAAACAACGTGCCCAATGTGTGCTCCGATTTTGTCAAATGTGAAATTAGTCTGCAGCTTGTTGTTGTTGTATATCATATGCAAATCAGTAGAAAATCGTGTTTTCTTTAAATTATCTACTTGTTTGGTCATTATTATTTTTCTTTTACAAAAATGTGTCGAATGACCCATAGTGCGTTGGCGTAACACATTTTTAAAAATCACGCTTTGGCTGCAATAAACAATGATTTTACAATAATTTTCATTTCGTTAATTATATAGGGCTCAAACCATTGATGCTTTGTTAGATGGAGACAAACGAAAAATCCCCGTCGTGGCAATAATTTTCAACTCTTCTATTGCCTGATTTCGCCAAAATAAAATAAAAAAAAGTTGGCGCTAAAAAATTGAAAATAGTGCCAATGAAAATAAACAACAAAATTAAAACTATGAATGGCATCATTACGATATGTAAGCCGAAAATTAGTAAGTAAATTTTTAATGAATGACTACAATTTCTTTAATGCTGGGTTTCTGCAAAAAACTCTCGAAGTTTTGTACTTTGCTTGTATTTATTTATTCATTTTTTTAGCGGCAGCACCATGTTATTAAACGCTTTAATCCAAGTAATCTGCTCATATTGCCACTATAATTTGTCTCGTTTTCTAATTACGAAAAAATGGGTGGAAAAGGGGGAGGGGTGTTTAAACTTAGCTATATTAGGCTTGTTTGTACTCGTATTAAACAGAGCGATTAGGCTTACTGTGCTTTCGAAATCGTGCTCAATGAATTAGGCATACTGGCCAATTGTAGGCGTCGAGTAATAAGCTACTATGAGTTAGCTAATACTTTGGTTATTAATTAATGTCCCAGTTGCTTCGAAACTAGTAATTTAAATATAAAATGTAAGTTTTAGGCGATACGATTTTCTGTAAAAAGTGAAAAGTTTTACCAATAGAGTGCTGCTGTGTTTACGAAAATACTGATAATAAAACGAGAGAACCAAGTAAAAAAGTCTAAGTTCGGCGCAGACGAGCCTTAAATAACCGGTTAAAGTATTAAATATTGTCTTCTTCACCTTTCCGAAACTACCGCAACATGGTAAGCAGGGGTGGTCTTCGATAGAACGTTCAGTTAGACATAGTGAGAAAAACTTAAAGAGTTATATGGGACGTGGGCGTGGTTATTGCCCGATTTTAAATATATTTTCAGCCGTTTGGTATGCTATACCAACACCAGCAACTGTGCCAAGTTTGGAAGAAATTGGTGGAGCTGTTGCCGAGATATACCGTTATCATAAGTGGGCGTGGCTAAGGGCATTTTCCAAAATCCATTATATGGGAGGTATTCGTGGTTATTGTCCGATTTTGCCCATTTTCAATACCGTCCGCCCCTCGCCAGAAATAAGTTCACGTATCAATTTTCGTTAAGATATCTCAATTTTTACTCGAGTTATCGTGTGCATAGACGGACGGACGGACAGACAGTCACCGCTTTATCGATTTTTTTTTTTTCATTCTGATCATTTATGTATACATTTGTCTATATCTAACTCGATTCGTTTTGGCTGTTAGATGCAACTTGAATAATGGCTGAGAAGGTCTAAGGGATAGTTGTAGTTTTCATCTAACCCACTTTCTATCGGGTCGCGATCCTTCTCGTGAGTATCTTAATAGATTTGGGCATAATAACTCCCCGTACTGTTCGAGGTGAATAGGAATAAGGGAAAACGCGGAACACATAATGTTCCCCTGCCCCCGCTACGCCCCTGAGACACGAAATATGCTACAGGACAACGACATACTGAATTATATGTTAGCGTCAAGTGAGAACTGGCAGAAGATATGCGCTCATGTCACACGAATACATGTAGATTTAAGACGAGCAGAGCTTCTAAGTAGCCACCAACCCCGTGACCTAGTACCTTGAATGACAGTTCCACGGGCAGAGTGGTTTTTGGGGAGGTTTTTGTACTTACGTGGAGCTGCTATGCCGTTATAGTAGCTTTCATGAGAGTTTCCTTCTTCGTAGGCGTCATCCTAGAAAAAAAAAACACAAAAGTGGAGAGTCCTACTATTTACCACCGACTCCGAACGGCGAATGTATAGCTATGAAGCTGTTTTTCATAGCAGAATATATTTAGAAGTCTGCAATTGCCTACCTAAGGGCGGCCGCTTTTAGAAAAAACTTGTATGCTTAATTTTTTTACATTGGTCGGAAACTGGGCTCCAACCCAGGCCCTGCAGAATGGTAGCGCGCATTGCTAACCACTACACCACAGCGGCTGCCAAAGTAACGGAGGAGATTCTGGTAATAGTGATAATTTTTATCGAATTCATAGATAATAGCTTTGGTCCAATACTTTTCTTGTAAAATCTCGTGAAAATACCAAACAGAAAAATAAGGGTAAAAAATGAGTAATAAGCAAAAAGTATGGGAACAAAAAAAAAGCATTTTCCTATGAAAACGTCAAACAAAGGAAACGTTAATATTTACGGTAATACTTTACTATTTTCCGCTACCAACTTGATAACGTACAATTTTTTTTTCTTTACTCTTGTGTAACAGCTGATCGCTTGACACTTTTCATGGTTTTACCAGAAAGAAAGTTCCGCCAAAATCTTGCAACTTCATTCTCTACCCAACTCTCCAAAAATCGTTCGTATTTACAGGATTTTGGAGTACGGTAACATTTTTTCTGTAACTTGCTGCTAGTTCATGTAAAAACCTGTATGTTCATGGAGTTCTGGATCGGAGAAAATATGAGGCCAGGAGATCAGAAGTGGCTTAACCCAAAAAAAAGTTGCTTGTACTTATTTGCTTTCAATAGTCTCAAATGTG